GGGGGGGGGGGTGGTGGGGGGTGTGTTTCAGGGGGACAAGGCCACCTCGCTGTTATTGCATGTTCCTGCCTGGTTGTGCCATTCAGTCTCCCTTCTTCCCATGTTCACATAGGTGCTGCATCTGTTCCTTCTGTCCTAAGCTTGGATGCACGTCTGCAAGTTATTAAAAATATATGAAAACACAAATAGATCCAAGATCATACTTTGTGACTGTGGCATAGTGGATTTTATATTCAGAATGTTCAGAATTATTGTATCTAGAAAACTTAGGTTTTCTTGAAATTCTTTTTAAGCGTGTCTCTCGAGCAGTTTTGTTCAGGATGGGATTTTTCAGTTGACTATGTTGCACTGGGAATATTGCTGCATTTCTTCATTATCTGTCAGGACTGGAAATTGAACTGCAATTTCTAGCAATGATGGTATGTTCAGTAGTATTTAGTTTGTACCCTAGTCTTTCTCTGGGGAGGAAATAATACAGACCAAGCCTTTGGCTCCTGAGTGACTAAATAACTCTTAAAAAATTTGGATTCTTGTGCCAAAATTGTCTAGGTTTGCCTGACAGTTGCAGCAGTGCTTGAGTGCCTCTTTAATGTTTGGTGCTTTTGCATGTGCTGTTTCTGGAATATCAGGGTGACAAAAGGATAGTGAGCACAGGTAGGGAAGAAGTGTGAAAGAAATGAAGAAAATGAGTGGAGCAGAAACAGCTGAAACATTCAGGGAACTTTCCTTCTGAAAAACAGTTTAAACTTAATATGGTAGTTTGGTTACAGCTTAGATATTAACATTGCCCAATTCATACAGGTGAGTATATTTATGTGAATAGGCATATATGAACATATGTACGCTTGCTTCTTTGGCAGTCTTCACACAAAATGATCTATGTGGAAAGCTCTTCTTTTGTTTTTAATAGTGTTTCTATACCTTTGTTCATTTTCAACAGCTCAGTTATATGCCTCCTGACCGTTCGGTAGATTTTGATTTTACTAAGAGAGGGTTACTAGTATTTGCTGACAAATCAGTTGCTGCTGGGAGCGTCTATACACCTTGCAGTTCACCTGAACTCAAAGCATCTACTTTCACTCCAAACCTGGGAGTTAATGAATTTAACACAATCATCCGACAGATGGCAAAGGTAAGGCTCTCGGGTTTAGTGAACCAAATTTACTTTCCTTTAGTGTCAGACTTTTTCTTGCAGGCTTTTGGAGTACATTTTCAAACATGCTCTTTTGTTGTGTATCTGGGAGTGTGGTGCCTCCTAGCCAGTAAGAGAGTAGAAGTGCTGAGGATAACATTTCCCTGTGAAAGATAATGTCAGCAATGGAAAGTGGTTTGGTGGTTGGTTGGTTGGTTTTCGTTCTTTGCCAGTTTTTTTGTCTTACTTTCTACCAAACACACCAATATAGAAATTTCAGTTGCCAGAAAACGTTTTTGGTATTTGATGACACTTAATTGGAAGTGGACATTTTCTGCAGAAACTTGTTTTGATGGAGAGACTTGTTTCATCAAGTACATTTTAAATTGGAAATGTACCAACTTTTTAATATATGAACAGTGCAAATGATTAAAAGAACTGGCATGTAGTATTTTATTTAACTCTTCATTTAGGGTGTCTTAACTTTGCCAGACAGATGCTGATTTCATTAACATGGGATGTAGCATGTACCAGGTGCTTATGGAAGTTGTACAGGTGCAGACATCCATCCATGTGGGATTGGCGTTTATACCACAAATGTATTGTTCTGTGTTACTTTGAACCATTAATTTAATTGGTTAGTCATGCCTTTCTATACTAAGTAACTGTTGCTAATTGACTACTTTAATGTAGCTGTAATATTTTGAGCATGTCTTCTCATTAGTGTGTCATTAACTCATCAGATAAAAAATTTAGCAGTAAAGACTGCACATTATTTTGGATAAAACAGCTGGGATAGCAGTGTATTCTCTAAGTAATATTTCCCAGTAAACAACCCCAGAAATCTTGTATTAGAACTGAAAAGCAGGCAGTCACAAAAGCAAACTAATTTTAGTGTTAAGTGTGAAGTTGCAGGGAGGGGAAGGAAATTAATTTCTTTATTTAAAAGCTGCAATCTTTTGAACACACACCTAAAAATCAGCATTAAAAGCAAGGGGAGCCAAAAGACAAGTAATTCAGTTTAGCTATGCAGCATTTCCAGAAATCCCAAACATATTGCTCTAGACAGCACTTCGTTCATAGTTTTCATCCAGTTTGGAATTCATCTCATAATGTGAATGAAGTGTGAAAGCAGCTCTTAAATTCCCTGAGGTTTCAGAACCTCAGAGTGCTTGCATATCCAATACTTTGCTATATTAAAAATAATAAATGGAGGAGCTTTTATAGAAATAACATATTCGGTATTTTGCCTTTGTTTAGTCTTAGGAGGAGAATAATTCTCCCAGTGTTCATAAATTTTAAACTAGCTCATTCTATTGCAGTAAAAATTAGTAAATCATTTTTTTCTATTTTATTAGGGGAGACAAATAGAATCAATAAAGATTGAAAAGCCTTCTGTTGGAGGTCTTGGATTTAGTGTGGTTGCCCTTAAAAATCACAGCTTGGGAGAAGTTGGTATCTTTGTCAAGGAAGTCCAGCCAGGAGGCATAGCTGACAGGTGAGATCTTTATAACTGTATTGGAAAATTGCAGTATTTCCACTAAGGGAAAAGTCATGACTTTCACATTGAAAACTATCAAACTAACATGTTTGTCTGGGTTATCTGGTGGAATATTTTGTTGGTGGTATCTTGAATTCTGGCTTTTCAACCACATGGACTCATGTTTTGAGGATCAGGTTTTCAGATGAGTTTTAAATATCCAAGTCATTCATAAATGGAATTTCCAGAAATCATGACTCATTTAAGAGAATCTTCAGTACTGATTAAAAAACAAAAGAAAACTCGGAAAGGAATACAAGAAATTAGCCTCTGTTTGAATTTTTATGCGTTGTGTCCCTGAAAGATTCTTTTTTTTCCCCTTGTTTCTTTCTTTATGTGCCTATGACAATGCCCTATTTATAGTTGGTTTTACTGTTTGTTTCCTGTGGAAATTTAGATCCAGTCCTCCCGACAGATCCCTGCACAGATGTCATCATAGAATCAAGGCTTCAGGCAGTTTCATCCCGTATTGTCTGTGGGTTTTCACCCAACAACAAAAGACAGAGCAATCCTTTAAAAATAAAATGTGATTGTAAAACCACAAGAGTTGGCATGAGACAAATGCAGTGCTTGGAATTATGCTTCAAGAAAATGTGTCTAGATTTCAAGTCACTGGTGTCACTTTTTAAATAACACATGTCAGGAAGTGCCAACACAGGATGACAAAAAGACTGGGGAGAGGTTGGAATGATAATGGCTATGGGCCCACAGAGAACACACCAGAGAACACTTAAAGAAAAGCATATTAGGCTCTTTCAAAGTGGAGACAGATGGACTGATCCGGATGTCAAAGGAGGGTGAATATCTCACTTTAGGATTTGATGACCTGCTGCTCACTTTCTTTGATGAGAGAATCTAAAATATGGTTAGTGCTTGAAGAAAGTGATTTCTGGGAAACATCTTAAACATCGCATGATAAAAAGGAAGTTTAAAATGCATTAGTTAAGATGTGCAGTTATATTGTTTCGGAGTTTATAAATTTCCCCAGCACGCTTCCCATTTTGCATCTGAGACAAGATCTCCTGGAGACTTTTTTTGGATTCCTACAGAGCTTTGAAGGCAGTGTCTGTCTATGTAACAGTTTGGTCTCGTGCTCAGAATGAATATTTAACAAAGGAGATGAGTGATGGTTTCTCTCTTGTCACAAATCTAAATTCATCACTAGGGTGAATTAACTGTGAAATTTATATTATCTTAAGAGATAAGTTGAACTGCGTATTGCTCAAAGAAAGCTTGATGTCTGAAGTTTGATACTGCGAATTTTGACTAAATTATAAATATGCAGCTCATCGATCTTCAGATTAAATAATGATACAAAATAGTATCATAGCTTGAGTTGTGAATACTTAGAGGTAGTATCATGTAGTGCTAAATATATTGAAGAATAGTTCCTAGTTCATTGTATAACTACAAAAATAAATTTTTTTTGCCCTGTAATACAATATCAAGAAAGGATGAGGGAATTTCACTGAGTTTTGAATAGAAGGAAAGGAAAAAACTGAGCAAATTTCTGTACTGTGATAAAGTTGGAACAAAATATGGCAGTTCGGTGCAGTGCAGTGTGAATTGCATTTGTATGTTGGTGAAGACAGTCTAATAAGCAGATTTTAAAAATATATAAATATTTAACCCTGCATAACTGTGTGTTTCGCATGTTCATATTTAAATTACACAAGCCTGTGGTGAAGTCTCTGTGCAGCATTTTTAAATTGCTTTTAATGTTTTGTTAAGGGATCAAAGACTGAAGGAAAATGACCACATACTGGCCATTAATTGCACCCCATTGGATCAGAACATTTCCCATCAGCACGCTATTGCCCTCCTCCAGCAATCCACAGGATCTCTACATCTGGTTGTTGCTAGGGAGCCAGTTCAAGGAAACAGCAGAACTTCGGCTGTCTTATTAAGTGATATAAATCCACCTGAGACTGTGAGTTGTAATACTGTCAAAATCAGATTTTGAATGATGCTGGATATTTTTTTTGTGGTTGTGTTTGCGTTAGCACGCTTTACATATAGGGATTTTTGTCTTTAATCAGATTTTGTATGTGATGACATTTCATTTAGACTGATCATGCAATAAGTATAAGGCTTCCATTGCAAAGCTGCGTGAAGTTGTTATAAAATAGATCCTGGGTTTTTATGGGATAGCAGAAGCTTTAGTAGATCAACTATTCTAAGCAGCAGGGTCTGTTCAGCATAGGCTGGGTAAAGCAGTTTATGAGTATACCTAGCTGAAACCTACTTGTGCTCAGCAATTAAAGATGCTCTCATTACATCTTAAAAGAGTGTAAACATAACTATCATGAGCACCGCTTGAAATATCCCAACCCATTTAAACGTATACTGCTCAAAACAAGAAGCTTGGTCTTTGTTTTAAAAGCAAAAAGTATCTGTTAAAGAACCTCTCAATCCCTGTTTTTTGTTTGTTTGTTTTTATCTGCAAATTTAATTAACTGTGAACCCTTTTGTTTTCTGGACCGAGGAGAGATTGTCACTAGGACATGTAATAAGCTAGGGCTGAACTTCCATCTGTGTTCAAACCATATGGTCCAGGTGGCTTCACTGGATTTGGTCAAACTGCACACCTAGATCCAGGGTTTGCAATATTGGAATCTTAATTTATTATGCTAGTAGGTTTTGATGAAAATCTGGTTAAAAGCAGTGCTTTTCCTTATTCTCAGTAATTATTTCCCTCATGATTATTACAGAGCTAGTGAAATCTGAAGGTTTTAGTGGATAATCAATATTGTTTATTGCACTGAAAATTTTAAAGAATTAAACTTTAACTGCTTTTTCATTGAAAGATCTGCACTGAACAGACTAACAAAATAAAATACAAATATATATCTCTACAGGGGGTCTTTAAACTTCTTTTATGATATTTAACTGGCTTTGGCAATGATTTTCAGTATGCTAATAAATCCTTTATTCACAGAAGACTTAAATCTGCCTACTTTGCTCCATTTTGGTTTCTATGAGATATTAATCTGACAGAAACATTGGCTGGGTTTGGGTTGCTTAACAGCTTTGTTATTTTCAGATTGTCTTGTAGAACATAAGGTCATGGTACAGTGTAGCTTAGAAACATGCTTCCAATTCAGTATGGCAGAATATTGTACTGCGCTATTAATTCAGCATGTACTGGTGGTGTTTAGAGTGTGTAAGTGAAATAACAGAAATAAGAATTTGGGCAATGCTAAGTGAAAACTAGGCCAGCGCAAGCTCCTTGCCTCTGTTTTTCTCTTGTTGTTTGCAGTATTTGATTTATGAAAAACTAAAAGGATAGTTTTCATTTTGGCAAGAAAATCTTAAAATTGCTTTTTCTTAGTCAAGCTTTTTCCTAGTATCCTGTTATCCTGAAAGTGAAGGATAAAATGTATGTTTAAAAACAGATGAGAAATCCCACTGCGTATTTATAAGGAAGTGAAGCTGACTGAATCCAGCAGATCTCCAATATGTGGGGTAGAGAGAGAAAATTGGTCTGATTAATTCTCATTATTCCTGGTACATGTGAAAGTGAGGGACATTAAAGACTGACTGAAATTAAAATCTCCTGTTTTTATTAATTGCAGATTCACTGGGGCCACGTTGAAGATGTTGAGCTGATTAACGATGGTTCAGGATTAGGCTTTGGAATTGTAGGAGGAAAGTCGAGTGGCGTAGTTGTAAGAACAATTGTTCCTGGGGGATTAGCAGATCGGGTAATTTGTTATATTATGTCACTTCTTGTTTGATTGTAAAGTATAATTAACTGGTTTTGACAGTCTTAAAATGAACTAATATACTTAAACAAAAGGAAGCTGATAGCATCAAAGTCTGAATGCCAACATATACTTTAGAAATAAATACGTTGAAGGTATGATTGAGGAAAAAGTCAGCACCTGATATGAATTAAGTTGTTTCTCGGATATGCATTGGTTTTTATGACATTGTTGAACATGCAGAAATTCTGAAAGGTTGTCTAACCTTCTAACTTTTGATATTTTCAGCCTTTGGTCAGTCTTGGGGAGGACAAATACTCTTAATGGATTTGCACATCCTCTGTAGAATTTGGCACATTAGGCAACATCTAAAGGGACAAACTCTCCAAATGAATTGTCAGGCAAGAGAATCTGCTCTATTGAAGTAATTGCATTGCAGGATACAGTTTATAGATTGAAGATGTCCTATTTTTAGTGGGTTTCATTTTTTTTAAAGGGGTTTTGATCCCTGCCTTGTAGTCTGACCAGTTCAAGGAGAATCTTAGGATTGATACAAAGCTTTTTGAAGTTACTGATATCTTTTAAGCTTGCACAGGTACAGTTTGCAACCTTTGATTACTGATCTTTAAAGACTCAGTGCTAAGTGTTGCTACATTTCAGGAGTAGAACACGTGCAATAGCGAAGCAGATTTGGATTTTTAATGTGAATTTGGTCATGACATGTTACAATATTTGAGGTCTGGAACCCATGGAGACAAGATCTGGTAACGTACAAAAGCAAGAGGCTAAGGTACTTCCTCTAGTATAGGGTGGAAATGAAAACTAGGGATTCGGAGAGCTTTGCTGGAAAATGTTGGCTTTTGCTTGACTGGCTCCCTTTGAACCTGTCGTGTGTAAATGAATATTTTTTTTAATTATTGTGTAACACCTGTTTTGCTGTAAGGAATAAAGTGTTTTGGCTACAAATGAAGCATGTAAGTTAAGAACTCACCACATCATTCTCAGCTGAATGAGACATCATTAAGAACATGTGAAATAATGAGCACATATACATGTTAAAATTGGATGAGTTTGTAAATGAGTTTGCGTTAGTTCTGGGAATAACTCCACTATGATTGCTCTATAAATCAATGTACCTAAGGTGGTGGAGCTGAGCTGATCAATACCAGCTGAGGATTTGGTCCTATGAATGCCTGCTTATAATAGAAATGATGATGTAGGTCATGAATCATAATTATCATGTAAAAAATGGTTTGTGTGGAGTCTTGTTACCTTCAGTGGATTTACTTGCTCAGGTTGGAGCTAGTCATATGAGAAAAGGATTGCCAGGCTAATAGAGAAGTATTAGGAAAAACTCTAGAAAGTCCTAAATCAAAATGCAGTGCTTTTTATTCTAACCCCTATCTGATGAGGAGTATTCTTTGAAACAGCATACATCATAACCTGTGAGATTATAAAACGTTGTTGCTGTCTGTTTTCTTCTAAACGAGAAAAGTAATCACTTAGGAATGGTATTATTCAACTTGTGGATCTAACTCAGTTTTGGGAAGGTTGATTTACTGCCATTAACTACTGTGGAAAAAAACAGTGCATGGTTGTGCAAATGCTTCCTTGAATTATTTAGTATCTTGTCATGGTGGTCCATGTTATGGTGTTTTCCTGCATTGGCTCTCGTGGCAACTGTACACAGGTTCAATTTTATAATGGAAAGGATATTTTATGTATAGACTGGTAATGTTTTTTGCAATTTTATTTCTGTTTGAAGGATGGGAGGCTCCGGACAGGAGATCACATCTTACAGATCGGAGGGACCAATGTGCAAGGAATGACCAGTGAACAAGTTGCCCAAGTGCTGAGAAACTGTGGGAATTCTGTTAGGATGATCGTTGCAAGAGACCCAAAGTGTGAAATTATGGAGACTCCACCAGCTCCTGTGAGCTGGCCAGTCAGTACATTACCTTCCTTTCAAAATGGAAATGTAAGGGTCTGGTGATACTTACTTATGACATTTTTAAGTACGTTTGTGGCTTGTGATCAGAAAGGAGGAGAACAGAGTGTTCTTGAGACCTAAAGTGATTCTCCTCTTTTGAGTTTCCAGATATCATAAGTGTGGATTTAAGTGGTCATTATTGTAGCCCTCCCTTCTATATTTTTTCCCTTTTTCCTGTATGTTATTAATACCTATAATCTTGGGATCGGAATGACCAGCTTTCAGAATTAATTTCAGAGTGGGTAATTTAATTACCAAGACCATAAATGTTACCGATAAATGGTACTTTTAGTTCTCCTTCTTAGCTCATTACATTTTTGCTAATCAATCACTTGTAAGTGGATTTAAAACTTGACTGTGAATTTCCCTAGTCTGAAATCCAGAGCGCCATGGCCACACCAGAATTATTCAGCACAATCATCTTTTTATGAAACATAAGTGTAATGTTTTCATAGTCTACGCTACTGTCTGTGATAGGAAATATATCTAAAAATTTTGAAACTTGTTTTAGCAAATCTTATCATGGTCATATCAAAGTCTCTTGTTTTTGAAGTCATTCTTTTCAGTTTTGAGTAATTAAAATCAACAAATGCTACACTAAGTGTACAGTAGGTCTCGAAACATAAACAAAGCTGTGCTTGTGTACCATCTGCTACTACTGTGCTGCTTAGATTTAGGTGTAGAATCTGAGTAGCCTTTTCTTTCTTGTCTAGTTTCTCGGATCTGAGTGAAGAGAGCTTTTTATTTTTTTTTTGTGAAGCACCATTTTTAAAGGTCAGACGAGCAGTCATATTGTTACAAACCCACCTTCTTACTTACTGGACATAGTCACTGCAAAGGCAGCCATTAGCTTTGTGTCTTGCCTCTCTCTGGTGTGGCTGAAGCTGTCAGTGAAGTATTTTGGGTCCTTCCTGAGCTCTTCAGAAGAGGGATTGGTGCAATAGGAAACATGAGTGGCAGAGCGATGGGAGGGGGCAATCTGTATACAGTATACATAAGGTTGAAGTCTTAAAAGTGGGCTTGTCTAATACTCTGAAAAAATTCTTTCCTAGAGAATCAGCATCATTATGAAGCACTTTTCTGGCTGTGTCATATTTTCCAAGGAAAAAAATGACATGATCCTAGTTTTGTTTTCTCTACAATGTACTATTTTTCTCTCTTCCCTGCCTCAGAAGCAGACCTTTTTGTCACTAATCAACCCTGAGCATTGCAGATGCTGCAGCCTTTCTAAAATGTTTTTCCTTCTGGATGTCTTTTCCGTCTGCTCCTTATTTCTGCTGTGTAATTTAGAAGGGGAAAAAAAATCACATTGCAGTTTCATCTACTTCTTTCTGAATGTCATCTATTGTTTTCTGAACAAAATAGTGCCTTCATATTTAGATTTGAAGAAACATCTCTTTCTGGTGTTAAGAGAGATTTGCTGAAGTCAAGAATAGTGGCTAATCTAACTGTATTTATTACTTGAATAATTATTTTAATGGTCCACCTTTCAGTTTGTGTCTGATTTACAGCACAACTTTTCCCTATAATCTAATTTCTCTCTGATTTCTGAGTACTTTCACTAGCTGTGAGCTTTGGAATAGAATATATTTTCCTCTTCATTTTTGCAAACCAGCAGAAGGGCATTTTTAATATATGGTTAGATTTTTTCAATTTTATATTAATATTTTATTTCCTTTAAATTTCCTATAGTAGAGAATAACTGAAACTACTTGTGTCTGTGCATGGGCACAAAAACCCAGTCATATTATCTGTACTCTCCAAGATCCTGACAGCAAAGTTAGCAGCCTACTTGTATTTAGGACTCTGTACTTTTGAGTTTTCCAGACTTCACTTCTAATGTTTCACCAGTAACATTACTTAGAGAAAACTTCCGTAGTGCCAGAGCACTGACTGTGAAGGGCTTTTGATTGTCACACTAGCAGGACTCTCAAGGCTATAGCTCCATTTCAGATGTTGCTATAGGCTTGTTTATTGTTTTGGTTCCCTCTCCTAAAGATAAGTGACAGAGCATCAAAACTTATCTTCATCTCCATCAGCGTCTTATGGAGCAAGAGAGTTGGAAAGCATTTAATGAGCTTAATGAGTTAGCTGGTGGAGGGAAGTGTGTGTATGATTAGAAAACAGATAGCTGTCTATTGATTTCTCTTTCAATGAAAAGTGAAATAGCTACGGCCATAACTTTGCCCTGCTGTTCATATAGATCCTCCCAGAGATGATATTTAGCAAACATTTGATTAAATTTCACTTTTCTTCACTCTCTTAAGAAATGTTTTCCAATTTCCCAGTCCGTTTTTTGCTGTTGGCAGTCACACTGTCCCTCTTGATTTCATCACTTTAACAGACCTTACTCTGATCATCATCTTATTTTTGATCTCATTGGGCTATATCTGATTACTGAAAACAACTAACTTTATCTATTTTAATTTAACCCTTACACTCCCAGATCTATGTGCTTGGTGTAGTTGGGAATGGTCAATGTTAGGTTAATGGTTGGACTAGATGATCTTCAAGGTCTTTTCCAACCTAGACAATTCTGTGATTGTTTTTCTCTTGGTATCATCAATGTCTTTAATGTGTCCTGTTTGAACTCTGTCTTGCAGTTTTGATTTTTACTTGTCAGAGTAGAGTTGCACAGACAGACTGAGGCCAGCTTTGTGGGGACTCTCCAGTGTAAGGTCAGATCATGTTGTAATCTGATCTAGTGGCTTTTATGGGTTTTTTGGTAATTGTAGTAAGTGAAGGGTTTGAAGAATAGGTCATGTTATGTGCTTCTCTTTTCAAGTATTGTTTGTTATGAGAAGTCATCAGTTCAACAATAAAGCATTTACAAATGAATACTCTCCCTTCCTCTGTTAGGTCTTAAAAACAGTTTTCACTGAATGCAAACTAAGGAATCCTGCTTCCCATTGCCTTAGACAACCTGGAGGCTTCCAGTGCTCTTTGCAGTTTGGTGACATTCAAATCTGAACAGGATCATATCAAACTTGTTAAGCTGATGCGTGTAAGATTGACTTTTGGAATGATTTTGTGGTTTGGGTTCTAGCATAAAAACAAGCAATAAGCCCAAACACTGATCTAGTCTCTTATATTTGCATTTTAAGTAGGCAACTACTTCTGTAATAGAGATGTGCCTACGACGTACACATGTGGTTTCTTTCGTTTCAGGGCAGTGAACCTCTTTCTGGTTTGAGATCCCTTTCCTCCTGCCCCTCACTTCCTTAGTAGGCGATAACAAGGAGAGATAACCATCACTTTTTCTGGCAGAAATGTGTGATGTGATAACACTGTGTATTTATACCAGTTTTTTTTGCTTCTTAACTTGTCTGGTAGAAAGAGATGAGGCAAGTGGATTCATGACACTGTTTGTCAGAAGTAACATCTGAAAGGGAGAGAAGACATTCTGAGGGCATTAAGCTTTCTGTTGTCCTGTGGAATTGACTGGGAAGCTTGTTGTTACCAAGTGGCAGTGGAATTCAAAGGGAAATGGCCCCCAAGCAGTCTAATGAAAGTCTTTGTTTTCCATAAAATATAAATGTTATACCTCTGACAGGTATGTGGAGAAAGGAAATAATTTAAAGAGCAACTAATGACTTTGGGTGGCACCTCATTATCACCAAGCCTTGGGAATATCTCTTTTGCAAATGTGATCCCTCCTAAAATAGGAAAATCAAAATCACTGCTTACTTCTAAAGATTGTAATTAACCTGCAATATTGGAATGGTACTGGGAGATTATGAGGTGGGTTTTTTACTGTCTTGTGCTTTATTTATAGGGTAATACCAACCTTTTTGAGACCTATGATGTTGAACTTATAAAAAAGAACGGGCAAAGCCTGGGAATTACAATTATCGGATATGCTGGCACAAGTGATGTTGGTGAGTTCTGCAGGATTTAGTAAAGTCTAGGAGAGGGGCTTCTCAAATACCCTTTATTAACTGTGGGGAAAATGGTAGCACTTCACTGAAACAGTGTAACGTACAAAATCTATGAAGAAGATACTTGGGAGAACTTGCTGCAAAGTGAAATTCAGCCACAACAGTTTTTAAAAGAGTTGTAATTAGCTGAAAAAAGTAATTCCCACTTGGCTGCTGGAGTGAATTTTACATGCTTATGTTGTTAGTGCAAGACATTAAACTGTAACAGACATTTCCTGCATGTACAGACTCTAACAGAGTTGGGCTCCTGTCCACACTGTGCCTTTTTTTTTGCCCCTGCAGTATATGGCACGATTCAGACAGAGCATTTTAAGAAGAATTTCAAAAACAGTTTCGGATGCATTAAGTTTTGAATGGCATCTTCTGTATGTACAAAATATCTTGACATGCATCTTTCGTTTGTTTAATGAATTGTGGGTATTATTAGAGTGGAAATGATCACTCAAATTAACTAGTCTAGCCCTCTGCCAGGCAGGAGGTGCAGAGAATCTGAGCTGTGTGTGAAGTGTGTGCCACTTTCACAAGATGATGTACTTGTCTTTGGCAGATGGCTGTTTCCATGTCTAAACTGGGAACAGATTAAAATACCTGTGCTAGGATAAGGGGATATAGAATCAGGGTGGGGTTTTCTTTTTCTCAGTCCTCTTTAAATTAGAGCTGTTAACTCATCTTTCAAATATTGGTTCCACAAATGATAGCATCTTTAAAATTGACTCAACTGAATATCTGGTTTTACGTGAAGGGGTAGTGCTTTTTATCCCCTCCCCTTCCTCATGGGACTCAAGAAGCTCTCCAGCCCTCTTCATTCCCAGGAGATCCTCTCGTGCTGCTGGTCAGGAATCCCAGGGCAGTGCAGGGAGCTGGGCTGGGCAGGAGCACGTGGCAGGCAGGGGGAAGAGGTGGGTTTGCTCAGCACAGACAAACCACGTTGGGCAGGTGTCTAAGGAAGGTTAGTGTTCAAAAAAGGATGGACAAAGTGTCAAGATTCACTAGAATTCAAGATCAGCATCTTGTATTTTGCAGAAATTTGTGGAAGGGAAAGGTTACTGTTTCAACTGATGACTGGGTTTTTTACTTTTTTGTTTTGTTTTTATTTCCTTGATCTAATTAGACGTTAGACTTAATATCACACGTCAAACATGACAAAGGACAGCCTTTCTGATTTCCATGTTTCTCTCTTTTTTTTTTTTTTTTTTTTTTTTCATTAAGATTTAAAGTACTAAATTCTTTAGCTGTAAGATGATTGAAGTCCTGATCAAAGTACTTAAGCACATACTTTGCATTTAGCTTAGGTAGTCCTATTGAAATCAAATGCAGCATGGATTTAAGTGATTGTTGTTTAAAGCCTGGATAAGCACAAGGATGAATCTATGGAGGAGGTGGCCTTTTGTGAGCCATGTTAAGGAAAAATTTTTGAGGTCAGGGTACAGGTGGTTGTGTCAGTGCTGTTTTTTCCATTAGATTCTCAGTCGTTCTGTGTCAAGTTGTACATGTTGTAATGGGCAAATGTTGGTGGCTTACAGAATCGTAACTTTGTAGAAAGAAGTGTGTGAAACAGGCTGTAATTAAAAATCTTAATAACAAAATAAATACATTAGGTTAATGTAGTGACTTGTTTCTCTTTCTCCCCTCCCTCTGGCCACAGAACCTTCAGGGATTTTTGTGAAAAATATAATACCTGGTAGTGCTGCTGACCACAATGGCCAAATTCATGTTCATGACAAAATTGTTGCTGTAAGTAAAATACTCCGCTTATATATTGTTGTAGAACTAATAGCTCATTACACATCTTAGTGTTAAAAGAACAACATAGTAAAGACTTTCTAAAATTTATTAAAGCTCTCTTTTGCGGAGGAAGTAATTTGGTGTTTGGTTAAAATATTATTTTATATTCAAAGTAGTAGTAAATAGTAGTTAACTATGAAAGAAGCACGCATTTGGATTAAAATGTTTCAGAGTGGAGAATCTTGGCTTTTGGCCTGAAGTAAAGATGAGCAGCATTAGCTTCTATTTGTATTGAATGGGATTCGAGGATGGTTAAGATTTTGCAAGATGTGGCACACTGTTTATGGTCCTTAATGACTGTGTAGCATAGTGTGGATACAATCAAAATGTTAATAGTTAACAATTTAGGTTTAAAAACCCAAGCTTTATGTGTAGAAAAATTAAAAACCATTGAATACCAGTGAATTGAATAATAGCCAACTTTGCATTCACAGTACAAACAGGAATGAATTACACAGTCTTTTTGTTTTAAGAGATAATATTTATAGAGATACGATTTTAAATTACTTTTAAAATGTGTGCTATGCCAGACCTTCCAAAGTCAGCTTCTCCTTTGTGAGAGCAGAAATTGATACAGCGTTGTGCTTTTATCTGCAGCTTTGCAGGAGAAGCCCCTATTGATGCATGATCTAGGAGTGAGGTGAACAGAGTATTTTGGTATAAATCAAAACACTTTAATTAATGTAAGAATCGGGCTGTTCAGAGTGGATTATATGAACAGTTCTGTGTACAGGCTTGTGTGGAGCATGTTAGAAATCCATGAGAAAATGAACAGTGATAAAGAACTGAACAGAGTTCTGGGTTGACTACTCTTGCTGGGAAGCTTCCTCCACAATACTCCTCAAGCTGTTTTTTGTAAGCAAAAAAATTGTAGGGGGAAATCAGCACATACTTAGAATAGTAAATTCTGTTTTGTGGTTGCCCCATGAAGACAGAGAAATTACTGTTGTCTTTCCTTTTAAAATGCATTTTGAAAATATTAACCAATTAGTGAAATGTAACTGATTTAATTAGATTGTTTTGCAAATAGTACTGTTTTGGGTGAGTAACCCTATAATTTCTGCACAAAATAATGTGTATGTTGCTTACCGTGTATGGTGCAGCCTAAGAATGTAATGTGATTGCTACTGTATGATACAATTTTCTTGGTTTAGGTTGATGGAGTTAATATACAGGATTATACCAACCAAGAGGTGGTAGAGGCACTGCGTAACACAGGACAGACTGTACGCCTTACCTTACTTAGAAGGAAACCTTCTTCTACTATTTCTTCAGAAAGACCTTCAGATAGAGGTAATACTTTTTTTTCTTCCTTTTTTTCAGTAACTGACTTATTTTTCACTCAATTTACACTTACCTAATTTAACAATTAGGACTAGTTACCACATGATCCTAGATTTTATAGGGTCGTGCTGTAGAAAATGAGATACTTGAGGAATGGAAAGAAATAGAAATGAGGGATTCAGGAGAATTGAGTGTAAAACCTGTGTAGCCAAAAAAAAAAAAGTAGTGAGGCGGTGTTACTACTTCATATATTTCGCAGTGTATGATTTTTTTTTTTTTTCATCTGTTTTCACAGTGCAACCAACTGTTCCAACCTTCGTGTCCCCTGGAGCTATAGGGACTGAAACTAGTGTGGACATTAAGAATGAGAAAAACCAAGAATGGAAGGATAGTCTTCAAAATGACAAGAAGCAGAGTCTACATAAAACAGGTGAATAGGATATCTTGCAGTGTCTCTCTGAGTCTTTGGAATTGCCTTTAATCCATTTTCAATACTGATGGGGCATTGTTGCTTGCTTCATCTTTAATTTTTGCTCTGTGATGCTTTTTATTCAGGACCTTCTGAAGTAAAGCTCTACCTATTGGATCTATCAACTCTCCTGCCCCACCTAATCCCCAAAATATCCTCAGGTTTGCTGAGAGTGCATTCTGTGTCATCATGGAGGTCACTCATGAAGAGACTCAATAATATTAGCCCCTGTGGCTACTGAACTTCTCTTGTAACTGGCTGTCAAGCCATTGGTTAAAGCCGTCTTTGAGCCCAGTGGTCCATCTAGTTTTCAGCCTATTTAGCAGTCATCAAACCCACGCTTCCTCAGTTTCCAAATGAGAATGCTGATATAAATGGAGCCAGAAGCTTTGGTGAAGTCGAGGTGTATTACAGCCTTCATCCACATAGCTATCTTGACAGTCAGATTGGTCACTTATTTGGCAAATCTATATTAACTGTTCCTGATTTGCCTTCTTATCACTTATCTCTTTGGAATGGATTCCAAGAGGAAGTATCTCATGATCTCTCCAGGGCCAAAGGTGAGACTGACTGGCCTATAATTCTCTGAATCTTCCTCCTTGCATAAAGTTTGCCCTTTCCAGTCATTAGTGATCCCCCTTCAATTGCCGTGTTTTGTTCTGGTTTTTTGCTAGATTATAGACAGTGGAGGTACAGCCCTTTCAGTACTCTGGAATAAATCCCATAAGCTGAATGCTTCCAGCTCACCAATTTTTAGCCTTCGTCCTGTTCTGATGACCTGAGGTGTTCTGCCTGCAGTTTTCTCCTGACAGAGAAGATGTGTTCATTCTCCTCTACTTCCAGGGCCCTGAACCAGTTTGCTAGGTGAACAGCATCAGGAGAGGGAACTCTTGGGAATGCACTTTTACTTCCTGTTCCAGTATTACCTGTCATACCTATCTTCTTACCCTTGCAGGTCTTATGCTCCTGTGTCTGCAGAGTCATTTCAAAATATACTCTTGGTTTCCTGTACATCATGTCTGATGCCCTTTTGTTTCAGTTTCCTCTTTTGGCACTGTGGTAACTAATAAATAAAGAAAACCAGAATAAATCAGAACTCACCTTCTGAGCTGCTTGACTTGGCCTCCTACAACCTGGGACCTGAGCTGCAGCATCTTCCCTCGGGTGTTTTGACTGTGTAGGGCTTTGCTGAAGGACCTGCAGCAGCGGGTACAGGGGATCATGTCTTGTGACGTGTCTCCATTTGTGGGTCATTTTCCACACAAGTGAGACAGATGTCATTTCCACAAACATCTGTCTCACCTGTGTGCCACCTGCCACGTAACTGCCTCACTCCTCTTTGCTTGTCCTGCTGATAGTGCTCCTGGTCATTGTCATTTCCTGCAGTGCCAGAGAAGTAGGAAGGCCCACACAAGCTTTGTCCACCTCCTGTGAGATTCCCCACTTGGCACTGAACCTCTCCTTGCTGCCTGCTGGTTACCAGACCCAACTCATTTACCTTGTGGTACTAATACTGTTGCATACAGCTTCCTTCTGTGCTACTGTTGGAAACCAGAGTTCAGTCCCTAGACATGCAATTTCTGGCTTGCTTGTCCTGAGCTTATTAGCTGAACTAGAAACTGTTGACTGCACACCTGTGCAGGCAGACGAGAGTCTCTGGTCTGGCAAAAGCATAATAGGCATAAAGCCCTGATAGCTGGAATTAGAAACTGGACAAGAGTTCAAATCAGGCATGTGTTTTTAACAGCAAAGGCAGTTGGGCGTAGGGGCAGATCACAAAGGCATGGATTGCTTTGGCTTTTAGCTGACTTCTGAATCAAGGTTGGAGGCCTTTCCAGAAGGCATGCTTCAATTCCCCTACAGATTTCTGGGCTCTTCTACAGGAACTTCTGGGTGAATTTCTACAGCTTGTGTTAAAGTCAGCATAAATTATCCTTATGCCTTGTAGTTTCTAAGATATGTAGATGTAATAGAGGATTCTAAATTACGGCTGTCAATGAATAACAATTTTGCTATGATTGTGGAAGATCTGTCAGTATTAAAGACAAGCTGGAAACGAGAGAAATGTAGCAGTTCCTATGTTCCATTCTGTTTTACTTTTCTGTCCAAGCCTTGTAACCAGACATCCTTTGTTGTGACTTTTGCATGTTCCCAGAAATAGGGAGCCAAAATAGAGGTGGTTGAGTAGCTGAGATGTGAGGTTATCAAAGCATTGTTTTAGCTGCATGAATGGAAAAGCATATATTGATTTGTAGTTACAATGGACGAATAACTTAAGGAGTTGGCAGTTGGATGTATTTAGAGGCAGAAGAGCCAGGAAGATTTACACTTGCTATGACAGAGGCTAGAAAAGAGCAACACATGCTGTCCTGTGTCATTTACCCAGTGCTTTTTTACTGTGGAACTTTCTATGCATAAAGTATTTTCTTTTTCTACTGAAGCAAACAATATCTCTGTAGTCAGTTCCTGACTACTTGTGATTGGGTTATCTTGTGTCACAGGCTGCAGATGTCTGCCCTGATGCAAAGTGAACTTTCTGAGGAATTTGTTACCTAATACCTAGTACTGTGCAAATATGGTATATCAGTGCCAGGATCAGTTTATGCTGGGAACTAAAATTGCTTTTACCTGGCTTGAAGTTAACAAACTGTTAGTCTTGAGGTGTGTTATCTAGATATGCCTCAGTGATCCCTGTTCTGCTGATAATCAGCTTGGATCAAACTGTATTGCTGAGCCTTTTTCATAGCAGCCCCAAACTGCTTTGATGTGGATCCACTGCCTCTCGATGAATACTCCAAAGCCCTTAGTTTCAAAAGGAGTTTGTAACCAAGTTGTGTGTATACGAGTGGCTCCCCTTCAATTCCAGCGTTGTGCAAATCTCGTAATCCCCTTCCTTGGAGCCCTGTGGAGTATCGTGCAGGACTTCATTGCCTGGAATCCACAGCTGCCGGTTGGACCCATGCTGATCCCTTGCAGGGGCAGTGGAGTCTATCTGCCCTGTGTTCCCCAGTAGCATGTGTACAATGAGATTTTTCTATTCTCTTATGTATCCAAGCTCCCCTTACCCTGGAGAATACAGGATGTATTCGTGTGCACAGTGTGTCTTGGGATACCAAAATTTAAACACTGAAGACATTGTTTGTTTGTAGTTGGATACTGCCCTTGATACCATCTAGCAGTGCTGGTCTTCCTCGGGCCAGCAGGATAATGCAATGGGCATGGCTTTGAAAGGGAGTCATGAATCAGGAGCATTTAATGCAATGGTAAGCAAGTATCATTGCTTGATTACACTGTGGTTTTTCCTAGTGAAAAACCACTTTAAGTTACAAGGTTCTGCAGAAGCTTTATGCAACTATAAAATGTGTGTGTGTATATCTGTTAAACAGTTGAAATACTTAGTTGCAAATTTTACTCCTGATGAAATACGATGTATAAGATTTCACCTTGGAATAGAGTTTAATGGCCAAGTTCAAATTCCAAAGATAGGTGCTTATTTTGGACATGGTGATGGGCACTTCATTATAATGGTGCTAAAGTAAATATTGCTAATTTAAGGCTCTGACTAAACTCTGGAAATGCTTTGAGAAGTTTAATGTAAAAAGCATGTTTTATAAAATGTGTATTACTTCCCTTTAAGCCCAGTTGTGTGAAATTCTTATTAAATTGTGTTTTCTGGAGAGATATTAAATAGTAATTCTGGCCAGGCAAAACCGTGCTTAAGCAGTTCTGTTACAAAGGCAACATGGTTTAGGATGCAGTGTGCACGAGGCCTGAAACTTTCTGCTAGCAGACTAGAGGCAATTAACTTAACAGCTGCATCTGCAAGACTGCAGACTGGGCAGAACTGCTTTCTTTTGCCTTGCAGCAGTACTCAAAACCCAAAGATATGATGATGCTAGTCAGGCACTGAAAGATGGCTGGGGAAAGATATCCAACAGTAGGGCAGAGAAAGGTAGTGCATTAATAAAATGCACTAGAGCACAGTACACATCCTTGTATAGTAATTTTGTGAAACCAGGAGGAAATTGCAAGAAGAAAAGGTCCCAGATTTGAAGATGCTGGCAAATTTGACCGGGAAGGATGATTTTTACAATACACTTGTGATTTATTCTTGACGCTTGCTAATTAGAAATAAAAAACTATATGGAAGTGCAGGCAGAAGGAAGACTAAATATGTTGAAAATTGTTGCTAATGAAAGCTGTCCCTGGAAAGTGTTTTCATTTCTGAGGCCTTGCAAATTATAGAAGACGTGGTACATGTCTCAGGTTATGAGAAATCCAGCTGGATGAGAGACTAGAAACTTCCTATTAGCTGCAATGTGGAAAAAGCTGTTTGAGGAAAAAGAAGCACTTTAAGTGAACTGGGTGATACCAATGGAATTGAATATATTTAACTCAAATCCCTCTAGCCAACATATCCACAGTTCTGAGGAAGTTACAAGCAAAGACTTCAAAGTGTGTTTGAAAGAAAGGAAGGGGGAAGCTTCAAATGGAGATGTGAATCGGCACCTGCTCTGAACAACTCAAGGGTTTTGGTAACGTGTTTTGGAAGTGACAAAAAAATAAGTATTCAGCCAACTGAACACAGCTTACAGTTACTGAACTGAACTTTGAGTCTGACCCTAAGATTCATTACTTCTGGTGAACCTTAAAATCTGTATTTGGCTGCACAGGCGACTGCAGGTGCTTAGGTCCTGTGTGTTCACGCTATAACCTTGTAATAGCAGAAAAAGAGACTAATGAATTTCTGTCCCTATGTATTTTTGCAAATAGAAGGAGTAGAAAAATGCACTGCTGTTCTGGTTTTGCTACAGCTGGGAAGTAAAGATACTGATCAGCCTGCGCTTGATAAAAAGCTCACAAAGATTACTTCTCCTTAGAAATTTCAGTTAAAGGTTTCTTTTTGGTGACAGAAAGGAGTTATCTGAATTGCTGGGATCCTTGAATATCTGTATCTCCTTGGGCATAAAGGTTAAAGATTCTCTGGATATTTCCAAGTGAAATCTCAGTTGTTAGGCTCCGAGGAGTGTGGTCTCTCAGTGCAGATCAGATAGAATTTGCCTATCTGGCATGACAGAAAGGGGGTGGAAGAGATACAGCGATGGGTTATGTTGTTGTATAAGTTAATTTAAATCTTTCTTTTTAATGAGCGGAAAACAAAGTTATAAAATGATGTAATGAGGATTGTATTGCAAAGCTCATGGTTTATCTTTGCAGTCTACAAATGTGTTGAAAGCAGAGGCAGCTTGATGTCCCATTTGTGTTGGCTTTTGCTGGTAGGTAGGCTCAGAGCTTCTCTTGGTGTCTTCAAACTTCCCCCCTTGAAGGTATTTTACTCACTAGTTTGTGTGCAAAATGTGTCGTACTGAAATTTAGAATGTAAATCACAACCACATCAGCAATACTAAGTGGTCTGTGCCTTGTCTAAACATCTGACAAACTATTACAGTCGTTTGGGGGAAAAAAAAAAACAGTTTTCAGTAATTCAGACCCCAGTTGCTGCTGCTGTAGCTGCTAGATGGAATTTGCTTTCGAGCTTGATTCTTACCAGTTAAACATTGCTTCAGCTTGGAACTTTATATGTGAGCTGAGCTTCTGGATGAGGTCAAATGCAGGGCAGCCAGTCATTTTATGCTGTCTAGCTCTGTCAAATTGTCTTACATGAATGTAATACTGCCTTGGTTGCATAAGTAAGAAAGCTGAAAAGATATAAATGTCAAGATAGCCAAGTTCCCACGGAAGACTGGTTTAGAACTGGAGCTTATATTAAAGCTCATGTTACTTACTGGCCTAATTAAACTAGACAAGCCTTTATACCTGCCAAATGTATAAATAAAGTCTGTGACTGCATTGTGCTGACGCAGCCCCTCGATAACAGCAATATCTTGTCAGGTGTTTTACTTCTTAAGGGAGTTCATTTTGGTGGGAGATGATGCTTCCCTGGAGTGGCAAGCATTTTTATAGCAACAAATTATGAAGTCATGTGAAATTTGTTTTGCAGCCTGAAAGAATGATTTATTTACAGTACTATATGGTACAGAACTTGCATCTCATCAATGCAAGTATCACCTCTTCTGCTTCTCAGTTGAATAAATCACACGTTAGCAGTAGCTGACATTTTGCATTGTTTTCCTAAGAAAGATGTTTTTGGTTTGCGCTGTTTGAGAGACTCATCTTAATGCACTTTCCTTTTTGGGATTATAACCTCTAATCTTTTATTTACACTGAATTTTTACTGAAGTATTTAGAAGTAACTGTACTTCCGAATGTACAATGTGCTTGTAAATTTAATATTCACTTTCATATTTAGGAAGAGTCCCCCTCCCTTCAGCACGTGAGCTGAAATCCAAGTGGGAAAACTTGCTAGGACCTGAATACGAAGTTATGGTATGTTATCTTTCAATAAACTATGTTTAATTTATGTTATTTCTTTAAATTACAGATCTGTGAACTTAGCATTACAGACTGTTGATAGAACAGTTTAGTTTTGGAACAGATCCGTAACATCACATTTTGTTTCCCGTAACATCAAGGCTGAAATATAAGAGTGTTATGATGAGTTGTTGTTTGTTTTTTTTTTAAATTCTGTTTATATAAATACTATTGTTATACAGATAGAAGACAGGAAGAGTGATTTAAGAAAATCAACTGTCCTTTTAAATCTGCATCATAGCACCCGCACACAATACGTGACATTTTTATGATTTCATTTATGATCTATTTGTTTTATTGTGCACTGGGAAAAAAAAGGCTCAGGATAGAGCTCCTTGTGTTTCACGCAGAATCTTACAATTTTATTAGAAGAATGAAAGAATGATTTTCAAACGTGCTGGGAAAAAAGGAAGTAATTCACAGTACTGTAACTTTGTGGTGCCAGTGTTTCTTAGATATTTCTTCACTTCATATTAAATAATTGCCAGGCAAAAGATTGTTTTGATAAATTGTCATAAGGAGTTGACTGAAATTGTAACTCACTACTGCAGTGCTGTGTTAGCTAGTGAGTAGAGAGAAAAGACTCCAGCCAGTGTTCTTTCTGAAGACTTAAAAAATTCTCACCACCACCAAGAAAACGCCCTGTTTGTCTTTGCAACGCTTGTCCAGTTGATTTAGAGACACTTATTTTTACTACTTGGAGTAGCCATCGTTCCAGTCACTCGCTGGAAGATTTAAAGTAGCTTTAAGAATTGCCTTGAGAAACTCGCTTCTCTTCTTTCCATTAGCACTCCTTTAAGATCTGAAGTTCGTGTAAGATTATGTACATGATGCAATAAATCTGTTTGGCTGCCCACTTCAGTTGCTTGGTATTCCCATCCTTACATTTCAAGAGTCTGATATTACTTCCCTTAGTGCTATCACACTTCCCACAGAGGACGAAAACCTGCTTAGTTCGTGAAACCGTCCATTTCTAATTCTTCTTTAGCTGCCTCCAGTAAAATGTCAGGAATGAAAATGTTAACGATTGGTCCTTTTAAATAATAGAAGGAAACTGTTGTGGCATCCCATTTTGAAAGTCATTTTTCTGTTCTTCCTGTTCTTGTTGTCTGCACCTACCTCTGGTCTTTCTGGGCTGCATTCAGTAACAATGTTTATTTCGATGTCAGCCTGATAGTGCAATCCCTGTTTCACACTATCCTTACTCAGCTCCCAGAAAGTCACCCTGAAGGTGCCTGTAAGTTTGAGTATTCTCTCAAAAGTATTTCTCTTCGGAGCAAATAACTGTTTGAAGAGAGGGTTTGGTGTCGCTCATAGTTTCTGTGCTGCTGATTCTCTGTGGTACCAATGGAAGGTGCTGAGATTCTGCTGAAACAGAAAGAGGACCTGGAAGTCTGTACAGGGATATATGACTGTGTGGTATTTGTTGTCAGGTACCTAAATGTGAGCAGTCAGGCTGAGGAGTTACCAGTCATAGATTCATTTAGTTACAGCCAAGTGGACATGAAATAGCTTCTTTCTGTTGGGGAAAAATACCCTAACTACTGAAAAACAAGATGCTGGAAGCCCTATTTAAAATTAAGCCAAAAGAAAAAGCTGAGCTTTAGTATTATTTCATAGATACTTTGTTAAACTAGAATTTTCCAAAGGAGTCTGAAGTTACCTGTTTTTTTGCAAGGCTATAGGTTTTCCAAATCTAACAAGTATATCAATCCTCCCAAACATATTCAACTGTCCCAAACTCCAACTCTGGGGCATAGATCACCACAGATGTCATCTTATTACATTTAAAATTGGAATAAATAACCTTCTGAGGTTACAGATAAATAAATAGTAGTCAAGAAGAACATTACAAGAAAACAGTGGTGAACATCAGAATTTTATTAATATTTTTAAAATGTAAACGTAATGAAGGGATTTCTTGTCACTCTTTTCAATACTCCACTTTGCATTCAAATCTGGAAATTAAACTCGTGTATTTCATTTCTAGCATGTATTTCATGCTAGAAACTTGCTGCAGAAGATGGTGGTTTAGTCTAGATGTTAGATGGCTGTACTATAGCCTGAAGTAATAACTTAAACTATTGTACTTTTCAGATTCTGATTGGCAAGTCAGTATTTGGGTATTTGTGTCAAACATAATGGCATTTTGTTCTTATACAGGATTACTGAACTTGACTGAAATTGGCACTTGGGCTTTGGGAATAGAATAATATTGGAGTCTGCTAATAGTGCATAATCACCACATTCCTAGTTGTAAATGTTCTGTGTCTGAAAGATTTTTTTTTCCTAACATTTGTTTAAAATTATTTTGCATCAATGTGACTTTGTTTAAGTACAGTTCATTTTGCTCATCATTTTTTTTTTCCAGAATTCATCATTCTGGTAATGTCTTTATTGTCCCGCTATTTAAAAATGTTACGATGTACAATTTTTAGGTTGTGAATGTGGATACACCCATTACAGATGATTCAGAGCTCCAGAAGTACTCGAAGGTATGACTTACATGATGGTTTCCTTCATGGTATATGTTGGCAGGGTAATCCCAGGAGGACATGACACAATTTTGGATTTATGTGTTCAGGAAATTTAGTGCCTTTGACTCCATCTTTCTCTTCCAAAAAAAAAGGCTACCAATATTCTGCTTGTCTTCTGGACTGGTCCAATACCTTCTCATAGCATGGGCAGACAAAGATTTTAATATACACACACACCTCTAAACAAAACAAAAAAACCCTCAAAACCCAAACCATGCATATACGCCTCAAATTTGGGGCTGCTTAATTGCATTGAAATTCAGTTGTTGAAATCCAGAGGTTGAGAGTCTGCTGAACAATGTCATCGTCCTGCACAGGAGTTTCCCATAGTGATCCGTTTAATTGAAATGGTCAGAGCTGAAATTAATTTCAGACTTTCAAGGCTTTTGAGAGATTTTTTTCAATATATGTATGTTAATGTTGTACAAATGAAGTTTGTGAAGGTGATGCATTTATATACTTGTGGAGCTGTCTCAGTGAAGAAAGGCCATAACCTCATGATGAGACATGGGTGTGAGGGAATGTTGAGAATGGGTGTTTGAGAATGTTGAGAATTGAATGTTGGGAATGGATTGCTCCTTTTACTTGAATATCCAGAATTAATCTGGAACCAGAAGGATAGTCAGTGTTTCAATTTAAGTAATAAAAAGCCAGAAAATGGCCACACTGAAGGAGCAGATACTCCTGATCATCTCTTCTTTCCAATGTTGCTATGATTTCTGCTGTCTTGTCTGGATAGCATATCAGTTCTGTGCTAGTCTTCCTAATATTAGCAGACCTAGGACACTAATGGTTGGAGGCCCCCAGGAGAAAAAATCCAATTTAAGGAGGCCCACTGGGAAAAGTGGAGGCCCCCTAACACCAAATCAGTCATTTCACCTTGCAGAAACAGGGATGCCAGTATTATTAGCTATTTGCAGAGGATGTTTCATGGATATTTTTCCTACCTCAAAGCAGTGTAGCTCCTGAAGGAGTAAGGCAGCTGTTCTTGTGATGAATTTTCATGGTGATTATGGAATGTCTTTCAGTTTTGTTGAAAATTCACCTTTTTGATAGGATAGACTTCAGGTGTTACCCTGCTCTGCATTTTTTCCACGATGGTAACCTTATTTAAGAATACAGTTCAAATATTTTTTTTTTCCCCAAAGGGCAAATTGGTTGTTTTTATTTGTGCAAACAGTTTGCATAGAGATATTATGGACACTTGTGCCATAACGCAGATGATGTCAGTATAAAGACAGTCCTTTTACTGTGTGCTTAGTTTAATTTGGTGAGCTACTGAATCCTAAATATATTGTGGTAGATAAAAGACATATACATTCTCAGCCATACTTATCTTTTGGCAGCTATTACCCATCCACACTTTGAGATTAGGAGTTGAGCTCGATACGTTTGATGGACATCATTATATATCATCAATTGCTTCAGACGGTCCAGCTGCAACACTTGGTCTTCTGCAGCTGGAGGATGAACTTCTGGAGGTAAAAAATACCCCCCCTCCCCCAAAAAAATAGAACTGATATATTTCCTGTTTGCTTAGGCTTCTTAAAAATGCTTGTATTAAATTCTGCTTTGACTGCTGTGTGTGCAATAGTAGTATTCAAGAGTTGGTTATGGAAGCAGTTGAGAGTGGCGCTTTGGAAGTCAGATTGATTTTCTTCACTGTTTCATTCCTACCTTACAGACAAAATGTCAAATTCTTGTGACCTCTTAGTAACTTCATGGGCTTTTTTTCCTGAAATGATTTAAGAAGAGTATCAAGAGTTATAGGGGCATAGATAACATTTGTGTTGAATATATCTGTAGTCCTTTAACTCAGTCTTTTGAGCAATTTGGCGTTAGCTTTTGTGGTGGATAATCTTTCTTCATATTTGTCACTTGTAAAAAATTTACAACAGTCTCAGGACTAGTGGTTCCTGTTACACATTATACCTTGCTTGTTGAGTGTTGAAAAACATTTATGTGTGTAGAGGTAGTACATCAATTTGTTTAAATATGTATAAAGAAGTATTGGGACAGCTTTGAAGTTATCGGAATCAGGCCAGACCTATTTCCTTAGGAAAAATATTTATTTGATAGTATCAAAATAATACCTATTTTGTGTGTGTGCATATATGTATACCTATCTGTATCTCAGCCTGCAAGTGAAAAGACATTAATTTCCTACTGAATGCTTCCTCTTTGTGGAATATTTTGGATTTGAACGTTTTTTAGTGGATGCAAAGAACATTCACTTGACATCAGTGGGAACAGAATTAGGCCTTCTGAAAGATTAATTTGTTAGGTGCAGAGCTCTCTTTAGAGCTCTCTTGCTTTTACTTGTTGTTCACCCTGTAACATCAAAAATTCATACTGGTATCACTAAAACCTAAAACATTTTCTTCAGTTATTGCTTAATGGAGGAAATCTTGATTCCTAAAGGAAGGGATTAATGGAATACTGGAAGTGTTGTTTAAATTCCTTGGCCACTAAACAAAAAATAGTATACAAAAAGCAATAATACAGTGCTGTAGAGTAACTTAGGAAACTTTAATTGTATATATTTAACAGTTTTACTTATTACTGTGTACTTACAATTAAGTTCACAGATATGTCCAGACCTAGTGAGCATAAATTTTTTTTCTACTCTGTAGCTGGAAAAAAACCCCAACAAAATAAAAATGTGCTCCGGGGCTAAAGCTATATATGCCAGGTTTAGCCCAGAGTATGTTTTTGCAGCCAAGTTATAAATCCCCTTAAGTAGGGGTTTGCAATGGAAAAAGTGACAGCCCCATTCTGCAAACAAGCAGCTCTACCTGGGCCTGATACAGTTGGGATTAAAATGTGATCAGCAAGGAATTTTTTTTTTAATATATAGTGAGGTTGAACGTTGATTATTTTTAATGACGTGTTTGAATTACGATAGAAAGCACGGTATTTTCTTCCCACCCCCATCCCCCAACTTTAGCTAATTTCATTGTGTTCATTTTGAGGAGTAAATTGCTTCCTTGTGTCCTTCTAGTTTTCTTACACAATTTCACTCGCTCCTATTTGATGGCACAATTAACTGGAGAGGTGTGGTGAATGAATGGGGTGTAGGGCACCTTGCGTGTTTAGAGGCCGATTTCTAGCAGCTGCAAAAGAAGAAACGGGAGTCCCCAGGTCCTCCTGTAGCTCTTTTCCATCAATCACAGTATGCTGAGAAGTGCCAGTAACTTTCCACCACACCGCCACTCTCAATGCATTAAAAAATCCTTACGCATAGATATTTCTGCTTAAATAATTAACTAATGGATTAGCCTGATAGCTCAGCAGTTGCTGTAATTCTTACAGAAAAAAACCCATAGCAGTTCATCTTACCATGTTGGAGGCTGGTTACACCATTTTGAATTTTTCTCCTTGGCTGGGTTATGGCATGAGAGGAACTCTGTGTTTCTCACAGTATAAGCTCTATTTACACTGTAAAAAGCACAAATGAAAAAGTTGGGAAGAAGAAGAGTTGATCAGGAAGAAAATAGTGGCTAAAGTGACATTGCTGTGTAGTCTTGCACAAGATTGAGTCCCTCTAAAGAACAAAGAGATCTCAGAAGTATACAGTGAGGTTCTGCCTCAAGTAACAGGGTGTGTACATGTATATTTATTTACATGCTGCGTTTTCTAGGATCAAATGTGGGTTCATCTACATTAGCACTGCAGTAAGTGTTGAAGAGAATCTTCAGATATCCCCTCTTACTGTGCTTTGGTTCATGTTGTGGAGCGGTCTTGGATGATGTGTACAGGATTCTTAAACCAGTGCTTGCACTCCAGGGACTTTGGACATTTGGTCATGAGAGCAGACTTGAGGTAGCCTGAAAGAAATCCCTGAAACACGGGAGGTGTTGGGATTGAGTCCATAGCACTGATGGGTTAAACCCTGCTCTTTGGGGTGCGCTGCTGCTCAGCGGAGAGGATGATCCCATCTGTGGCACCTACTGATGTTCTGCTTTCCTCGTATTTAAGAGTACTGCTATGGTGCCCTCATGATACTGCAGGTTATAAAATACACAAAAGAGGATGAACCACTGGAGTTTTACTTTCCTAAGGAAGTACAACTGCAGTATCCCAGTTTTAAATAAGCATTTTTTCCTTTCCTCCTCCTTTCCTCCTCCTTTCCTCCTCCTTTCCTCCTCCTTTCCTCCTCCTTTCCTCCTCCTTTCCTCCTCCTTTCCTCCTCCTTTCCTCCTCCTTTCCTCCTCCTTTCCTCCTCCTTTCCTCCTCCTTTCCTCCTCCTTTCCTCCTCCTTTCCTCCTCCTTTCCTCCTCCTTTCCTCCTCCTTTCCTCCTCCTTTCCTCCTCCTTTCCTCCTCCTTTCCTCCTCCTTTCCTCCTCCTTTCCTCCTCCTTTCCTCCTCCTTTCCTCCTCCTTTCCTCCTCCTTTCCTCCTCCTTTCCTCCTCCTTTCCTCCTCCTTTCCTCCTCCTTTCCTCCTCCTTTCCTCCTCCTTTCCTCCTCCTTTCCTCCTCCTTTCCTCCTCCTTTCCTCCTCCTTTCCTCCTCCTTTCCTCCTCCTTTCCTCCTCCTTTCCTCCTCCTTTCCTCCTCCTTTCCTCCTCCTTTCCTCCTCCTTTCCTCCTCCTTTCCTCCTCCTTTCCTCCTCCTTTCCTCCTCCTTTCCTCCTCCTTTCCTCCTCCTTTCCTCCTCCTTTCCTCCTCCTTTCCTCCTCCTTTCCTCCTCCTTTCCTCCTCCTTTCCTCCCTTTTTCTTTTCTCAAGTCTGTGGTTTAAAACATCCATTAACAATGCCTTGGGCTCTTCTGTTGTCACTCAGGATCTAAAGCTTATGGGATGGTAAGCTTTGACCCTTGTCAGTGTTCTCTGATTCATCGCTTACTGTAATTGTATTTTTTACTATATAAACATTCTTACCTGTCTTCTGTAGGTCTATTTTAGTTTCAATCATTTTGTTACATTTTAAACAACTGACAAAGATGTACTAGTTGTAACTTCAAGGTTTTGATTAGAGCTCAAAATCTGTGTATTCCCAAAATATTTTTGAATTTTTTTTTTTTTAAATTCAAACACATGCTAAAAAAAAAAATCCCTAACAAAGAAACAGGTGAGAATGAAATAACAATGCTAGGAAAGATTTAGGCTAGGAAAAGGAGTGAGCAGAAAACAAGTTAGAGGAAGCTGAAGAGAGCAGAGACGTGGTGTAGCAGTCAGTAGTCACAAGATCTTGAAGATGAAGTCTAAGTCTTACAGTAATGTATGTATACTTCAGAAGCATATATTAATAAAACTGCAAGGTTTGCCAAAATCCCTAGGTAAAGTTAGACTTCCACATTCAGCTGGGAGAAGACGTACGCAAAAAAAGTAATAAAAGAATCTGGTTGGTATCCTTTTAATTATCTTAGCATGGATATGTGTTTCCCCCTTCTGTGTAGGTAAATGGAGTTCAGCTATATGGAAAATCACGCCGAGAGGCAATCACTTTTCTAAAAGAAGTGCCACCCCCATTTACACTGGTTTGCTGCCGGCGACTTTTTGATGATGGCAGCGAGTCTCTTGTGGATGAACCCACCGTGAGAGGTTCCCCTCCAGAACAAAAGGTAGACTTCCCATGTCATTCAGTTGTGTAAAAGGACAATAACTTTTTGAAAAAGTGCATACATTTCTGAGAAAGAGATTTAGCTTTTTAAAGACAGTGTTTCTGTTTTGCTTTTTCTGTTCAATCCAGACGACTTTTCAGTCTTAAATAACATTTCCTAAAATATATAGTTATACGAGGCAGTTTTGTATTAAATTGTCATATAAAGCTGCCTTGGCTATTCACTTTGGGCTCATAAGGGACAGCTGGTGTTTCAGTGAAAGATAGTTCATGTTTGCAGCACTGGTACTTTTACTACAGTTTATACAGGTTGGTCATGAGAAACTTCATTGTACTATAAATACAAGGTAGGTAAATCACCGAGCTCGCATGCTGACTGTGTACATCCTATTCATCATTCTTGCACTTAATAGGTGAGTGAGAGCTCTGAATTATACTAAATCACATCCTTGCCACCATTAGCTGATTACTTCCATGTTCTGAGTGGGTTTTTATAGAACTGGAAAAAAATGAAACTTAATGTTTCTTTCCATTGCAGAAGCTTTAAAGTCTCAAACTAAATCTCAACACTTGTAATGGTCGTTCCTATTTCTAAAAAGTATTTACACCTTGACTTCTCATCTTTTCTGAGATTTTCTGATCTAATTTCCTCTAAGGTGGTGAGTTAAACAAGAAGTATGGTTGTTTCATGGAAGAATAAGGTGTACAGTATTATACCTTTTAGTAAAAGGCCCTTTCTGTTGCAATAGCACTTGTTCCACTGTGGTTTTTAATGTTGCATTTTACTGAACATTTTCCCTGTGCATCCTGGTTGCATGTCCGTTCTGTGTTGCACATCTTTGCCATAAGGTGATACTGTGTGAACAGAGGTTGCCTTCTCCTTAGAGCAATCTCACAATATTTCTGCTTTCTTTTGTCAAAAGTATCAAGAAAGAGTGTGTAGAAGAAAAATTTCTTAATTTTGCCTCATGGCAGTGCTCTGTGAAATAGACATATTTGTCCAAAGAAATAAAGTTAAATCAGTGTGAAATAAATGGGTACAAGATTTTATTTTTTTTCTTGGGACATCATACATTGATAACTTTGCAAAGATTGCATTTATGAAATAGCAGTAAAACACGCATTTTAAGTTAGGCAACAAAAGATGCCTTTTTGGCAGATGTATTTGTGAAGCTGTCCTTACTCAACAAAATCGGGTAACTATACCTCTTTCTTTTATACCTTGGCACAAAAATTGTGAAAGAAGCTGCTTTTTCAAATTGGATACTATTTTTACAGTTAGAATATAAGAATTTTTTTGTTTGCATATTTAATGCCACAAGTATCAGGTGTGCCTGATCATCTGGTCTTTCTATTAGCTGTCTGTGGTGAAATCTTTTATGCTAAGATATTTATTTTTCTTTTATGCATCTAATGGGACAGCTGAAGTTCATCAACATGTAGCAGGTTAGTAATATTATAACAACTAATTTGATTAGTACATGGGTATTTGTATGCCAGGTTGGGCTCTGATGCTCAAGACATGTAGGCATAGTCCCAGGGGAGTATCCAAGGCAGCAAGCTGGAGAAAGCTGGATGCATAATGTTTAATGAAGTTGTAATTCCACAAAAGGTCATATTTTAGGGCTTGTATGAGCCATTACTAATCAAAATATTGAAGGAATAGTGTTTGTAAAGCACTGAAAGAATAGTGTTTTAACCAGAGCTTTTATTTTTCAGGTGAAACCTGAGGAAGACATTAATCCTGAGGAGGAAGGGGAATTAGCATTATGGTCTCCTGATGTGAAGGTTATTGAACTGGAGAAGGACAAAAATGGTTTAGGATTCAGCATTTTAGACTATCAGGTATACTTTTCTGTATAACTAAATACTAAAAATCCCTTTGATCCTTTATCTCACATGGTGCCTTAAAGTTGTTTGTGATGTTGATTACTGGGTAACTGACTTAGCACTTAGGCTTAGAAACTGTGTAGGGAAAAGTAATTTATTTTGAGGCCAACTCTGTGAATTACAGTATAGTGCTTGTCCCAGACTAGTCTGACTATTGGACATGATAAAGTGCAAAATCTTGAATCAAACTCCACCTCCTAACTGAGTGCTGGGGGGAGGTTGGTTTTTGGTTTATTTTGTTTTAACTTGGAATGACTTTTTAACTATGAGAGTGGCAAGCAAACTTTCTTAGGTATTGGAACATCATTTCCTACGTACCGAATTTAATGAGTCTTTTACTTTTTCTCCCCTCACTGCCTCAAATCACCTTTCATTTATAAATAGAGTATAGACTTGTGCTGGTCTGTGATCTGTGGTTTCACTCAAGCCATGGAAATACTCACTCAGGCTTCAAATAAAGCCATGAAAAGTAGAGTTTGCAGAGGGAGCTTTACCAGGACTGTCCTTCACAGTCAAAAGGGACCATTGGGGCTGACAGATGACTCAGTGTTGCCAACTCAAGTTTCTGTAAACACAAATTTGCTTTAATACATTAATTTATTAGTACAAGAATAGAGATTAAAGAACCTAGTTAATGATTTTTTACTTATGCTTCTCTGCTTTAACTATTAAACCAGTATGCCAGACATACAGTCAGAATTTTGGGGGTGAGGGGCAGCAGGGAGGAAGCTGACTTTCAGGAGTCATTCGTAGTTTAAAATTTGATTTCTCCAGGAAGAACCATTTTGGGGAGGATTATATACTTAATTGTTAAACTCCTTAAAAATCAACTGACAAGTCTTTAATTGGGGGAAAATTCTAATAAAATTAATGAATCCTTCTTTCAGAATATTGGCTTAAATTAAATATATAGAAACTTTCAAAATCTTTACTCAGAATGAAATGTTCTTCATGTTTCTAGTCGACGTGATATATTTTTAAACCTCTAGCCATCATATTTATAAGGAAATAAAATAGCTGGATCGCTTTTCATAATAATATACACATCACATCTGAATACTGCCTAAGCGTTGCAGTTTAATAAAATGTGTTCAACTGTTGTGCATAAATGTCTAGTGATATAAAATTCACTTTTTGATACAATAAGGCATGAATTGGGAATGAATTAGAATAAAAAATATTGGAAGTATTATGCAAAACTGTTAATTCTATATTTTACCAGTGTGATTTAAGATTACTGAAAATAGATCCTGTTAGTCATTTTCGCTGACACATGTTGTGTTGCAGTGCCAGCTTTACTGTAGAGTTGCTAGGAGTCTTTACAGAGCAGTAATACACAGATTTGCTTTTAAGTTCTCATATAATCAGAATTAATGAAGGCTTTAATAACAGGCTTTTTATTTACTTATTCGCAGATGCAAATACATGAGCAATGTTGTGGTACTTTCAGCTAAATTTAAATACATTCTAATCAATTCTAAATGAGTGGTAAACCACTTAATCTCAGATCTTTATAATTTCAAGATATTTATGTATAAAGTATGCTCTTTTGTTTGGGATTTGCCTCTCAGATCTTTTACACTTTTCATCATCTGCAGATTAATTTTTATAGAGAGATATCTGTGACTGTGTGTATGTTTATGTAAATACATCCATCACATTCTTGAGTGCAGGGCAAAGAAAATAAATAATTGTCCATGCTAGATTGGAGTCTGGGAAGAAAAAGTATGTGGTTCCTGGGAGACTGTTTAGAATTCTTAAAGCAGATTTGCTGAGAAGCACAAAATTACAGTGAAGTGTTTAATTGTGGCTTAAAGGACCTGGAGACCTAACTCTGTTTTCTATATTTCTTTTTGCAATTTTACCCTTCTTTAAAAAATGAAAGTTGTTTTCTTAGGCACATACTCTGTTTTGCAATAAAAGGTTCAAGCCTTATAATGGCAAATGACACTACCTTCACTATATATCCACTGTTGATTTTGCTCTTTTTGAATAATCATGAGGTGGGGGTTTTTTGACTTTTTTTTTTTTTAATGAAGATAGTCATTGACAAGTGGCTTGGCTTCATGGCTCGGTGCATCAGTGAGAAACCATCGTTTCTAGGCTCCCATTAGTGTTAATGGAGATAAGGTGGAAAGGAAAATACTTTTTAAGAGGTGATTCTGAGCAGAAGATCTATTTGTGGCGCTCCTAATTACACACATAAGGACTGACTCTGTTACAGAAGTTTAAGGAAACTTTGGTGTTATTGTACCCAACTTGGAGGTGACTATATTCTGGGTTTTAAAGATCAAATTATTTCTGTAGCGGTTGGCTGAAATGTCACTTCAGAAATACTGGTAGGACTTCAGAAAGATAAGCAGGAATACTGAGGTAACAGTACAAGGAAAAAAAAAAAAAACCACGGTGGTGCACTATTATTCCACCTTACTTTGCCCCCACATCAAGGTATGATAACATCTTTGAAAGGCTACTGCAGTACCAATCTATGCCAGCCCATTTCAGTTGATTCTTGTGAGAGACTGGCGACTGTTATCTGCAGTATTTAAGAACCCCTGAAATCCAGCTCATACAGACGTGTTCATTTATGACAGTGAGCAATGCCAGATGGGCTGCAGAAGTGGAAGAATGCTAAGCAGTTAGAGACCAGGCTGCTTTACGGTGCTGTGAAAGTGTCTTCCTACTGCTTCCCATTTCTGTTTGGTATTTGTTTTAAAGCGCAAGGCATTTTACTTTTCCATCTTAATTCTGATTACAGAATTGGAGGTGGTGATGAATACTCTTGTGGTATATGATTTATACTACTTGCCATTTGGGTTTTTTTCAAAACTGACTACATACTTGATGTAAAGGATATTGTACCTCAGTTGTCTAAAATGTTGTGAATCCTGAGTCACGCTCTGAAAAACAGTATTAATAAAAACTCTTTGTGAGGTATAATAGGAATCTGACTACGTAGAAAACTGAATGCTGAGATCGAGAAATTATTACCCTGGTATATTAATTTTTAATGGGCTATCTTTCTAATAATGTTTCATCTATCAAATAAATGATAAGCATATCCCAAGTGACTTGCAGGATATTCCCAGAAATGTACAAGCATAATTCCAATGACTATATATTTTCATGAACTAATTACAAATTAATTATACCAATTATGCATAATCAATAGTATTTCTACTTTGTCCTGTGTTTTCTTTTGTCTGTCTTTAGGGATTTAAATACTTAAAATTTTTTTTTTTTTTTTTTTTATTTTAATAAGGTCCTCTTGGAAGGCCTGTATATGTATTCCTAAAACTTTGGGACACCATTAGAGAAATAGAGTAGACTTACCTCTTTGCTTTAACAGGACTGTATTTATATAGAATACTGTTCAGCTTCCCATGATCACTATGTATCTTTTTTTCCATTTGCTGAATGTCCTAATTTGTAATTATGTGGTAGGAAATCTAAAATCTTTGGGACTGCTGCTCTGCTAGCAAGATCAATACCAGGCGAGAGGGGAGGTGGATAGGGTATTCTTGAAATGATTGGTTTCACTGGACTTTTTTTCTCCTAGTGTAACGTCTTATTTAAATAAGAAACATTGAAAAGGTCTTAAAATGAAATCTTCCATGTATTTTTTCTATTGTCCCCACTGTTTTGGGATCTTGTCAAAGCTCTTAGGCTAGGCATTGCTTTTTCTTGATAATGCTCAGATGAAAAACCTGCAGGAGGAGAGGCAGCAGCAGCCGTGCCCGTAGGCTCTGTGTGTGGTGTGCTTCCTTCAGCTGATAACGCATCCTGCTCAGCAGAGACCTGAGGAGCAGTATTGCCTTGCTGGTGATTCTATCTTAAACCGGGACCCCTACCCCCCTTTTGGCCATTAAAAAGGTGTGCTGTTTGGTCTTCTGGCCAACTTCTCCGTGAAGTAATATACTCTACCTCCCTTAATTTCCTTGTAATTTCACTTGGAGGAGTTGCTCTCTTTTTCACCTCCTAACTAACTTTTATGTAGTGTTGCTGGCACAGTTAGCGGCAAGTATGTTTTGATGGTGAATGAGGGACCTAGTACATGTAGAGTGCTTTGGGATCATCTGTGATGCAAGGGGCTACGGTAAGCATATTTATTGTTCTTTGTCAATAGACGTGAAAGTATCCAGCTTAACAATAACTTTGTCTGGCCTGAAGCTAAACCTCCTAGCCAGCAAGTCAAGAGCTAAGCCATTGTTATTGAGACCAATCCTTTTTCTTAGAAAGAAATTAAAATGGAAGAAGGGGGCATGATATGTCATCAGGTTAAAATAGAGGAGAAATGCTGTATAAAAATGACAGCGATCCCAGGGTGTTAGAGCAAGAGGAAAGAAAAGTCACACAAGATGAAGACTTCTGGAGAAAAAGAAGAGATCACAATAATATAAAAGGTTCTTTGATTGGCCCTGAAACAGTGTTTACCAAAGACCTGCTGCATGCAGGCCAACAGATCCCGTCAGTAATGTTTTACAGAAATATTGGAAAAACCACAGGTAGCTGAATTGCAGATTTCTTGAGGCAGTATTGACCAGAAGGTAACTTGAATGGTCTGATGAGCTTTTATCAAATTAAGCAAAAAGCTGAATGGACTTTATGTGGAGCTTAATTTAGTGTGCTTTGAAGTCAGAGTATTTTAAAGTGACTGTTTCAAAGTGCGTGAAACTAGAGAGGGTGAGGGTTGGGTTAGAGAGGATTGATGGTTTACACAGCTCTTAGGATGCCTGTGAGAGGCTGTTTCTCTCTGTGCTGGAAAGGTTAGTCCCCTCTCTCCAGCCCCTTTTGCACAGTACCAGCTGCCCTACAGACCTGTGGGGCTGTAGGAACTCATGGACTCACCTCCTCCAAGTGGTCCTTGCCAACGTGGGTATAAATATCTACCCATCCCCAGAAGCAGTAACGGGCATTTGTTCTGAACTTCATATACTCAGACCTGAAACAGCATG